AATCTTATTTATCTTTCTTTAGAGGCCTAATTTTCCAATTATTTGTATTAATAGTTTGACCTGAAGGTGGAGTGAAATTTGCATTACTGGCATACATATTAAACATTTAGAAGATGAGATGTAGGAGGGAAGAAGGAAATAAAGCAGAAAAGGGGCATTCATTGCAGGGCAGGATGCTAGCTTAATGACATTGTAAATGTACTCACTCTTTCTAAATTTCCAAGTGAACAATCATAGGTGCAATTAGAGTTTTATTGTATTTTGATAAATGATTCAGAAAGCTTTGTAAAAAATCCAAGAAGACATTTTAAAGAAATGTATGATCAGTAATAGCAGTTTCTCAAACACTTGACACACAAAAAAGGAACTCATAAAATGAATACCAAGGAAATTACAATTAAAGTAATGGTAGGTTTTAACAACAATATATGGCATTTTTTGGCTTCACGTTATATCACTTTAAAAAATCTAAAGGTATTTCATTTCCTGTATTAAAGAAACAATAATAGCATATTTTTTACTTACAGTAAGGTCTTATTTAAAGAGCTGTGGAAAGAACTGTTTTCTCAATAGGGCTAGAAATATATAGAATAATTCACTTCTAAATATGCCAATTCAAATTTGTTTGTGGCATATTATGCTTACTGGCACAATAAGGCATTCCTCTCTTCCTTCCCCACTTTATCATGGTCTGGCATTTTTCCTTACCACCAAGAAGGGTTTCATTCCTTCAAACTTTATTCCACCTTTAGCTGCCAAGAGCTGATGGCTTTCCCTTTTGCCTAAAGCATTTCTTTCCAGCAATGCTGAGAGGAAAGAGTAAGTGAAACCTTCAATGAAGAAATTTAATTTTTTAGAATGGCAAGACATCAAAATTGTTATCTCATATTCCACAAATGTATTCTACCCACATTCTCTGGATGCTCTCATAAATCCTCATATAAAAATATTTTTATGCAATCTTATAATATCCATTTTAATACGACCTTGCCTCTCAAGTGGTAATCCAACTCTACATAGTTCTAAAGGAAGATGTCACAATACTTCTGTAAAGAATAAATTAGCTAACTTGTGTTGTGTAATATGGAGGACCATCTTCAGTTAGTACACAGATGCTCTCCAATACAACGATATGCCCTCTTCAGAGCAAATTTTTAAAAATCCCTGGTAATAATTAGTGAAAGAATTTATTCCTTCAAGATGTAATGTAATAACCAAACTATTTACCAAAAAAACTGTGGCTGGCCATTCACTACATTAAAAAAATCACTAATCAGAGTTTGTCACCTAACTCATAGCTATATTTTCAACCAAATGTTAATAGTGAAATTACTTGTTAGTTTAATATTTTTAAGTACAGTCTTGAAAAATAAAGAGGGCAGGCAAGTTACCATACAAAGTGTGTGTGTGTGTGTGTGTGTGTGTGTGTGTGTATGTGTGTTTAGTAAAATTCTCATATAAATATGACACAATCACTGATCAGCATGAAGTTTGCAGTTCTTATTCCCACTCTAATAACAATAATGGGTCTTCATGAATAAGCCCGCATTGCTTCTTTGAAACTTCCTTAAAGGGTGCTTCAAATGTGTAGATAATGTGCCCTTTGTACCTGGGGCAAACATCAATTTAGACCATGTGGAAACCTAATCTATGTCCTTAGCCTTATCTGGCTGTATTTCTATCAACTAAGCTCACATAAGTGTCTATATTTATTTAAAAAGAATATTTTAAATTCATAGTCAGTGACTATTGACTGGCCCTTAAATTCCTGGTAGATGATACAGATTTAAACCTAAAAAGATCATCATTGTAAATTTAGAGTCACTCATACTAAAATTATATTAGTTTATGCAATCTAATTTTTTCTTACAATATATTTTAGTACATTTGTGGTCACTGCATTTCTAAGAATTTACAAATTACTTACCTTTGAGTACATTATCATCCACACTGCTAAAAGATGAGAATACATCTCAGGATTTTTTTATTTTACCTTCTCAAAGTTATAGCAGAATATTGTAAATATACTAAATGGTCAACAAATAAAAAATAAATAGAATCACAAAATGCATGTTTCCAGGGTTGATGAGCTTTATGCTGGAAGAATCCATATTCTTGTACTTTATTAGTTATATAAATATCTACAACCCCCCTACTCTTTGATGCCAGGCACTATTCTAGAAGCTAAGCCAACAATGAAGACATAGTCTATTCAGTATGCAAATCCACAAAACACCTGCATACTGTAACAAGCATTATGAAAGAAACAAATAAGTTACCAAGATCAAGGCCAACAGGGGACAACCTACTTTTGACAAGATGATCAAAAATGATCTTCCCCAAACAAAAACCTCAGCTGAGATTTAAAGTTTGAGAAGGAGTGAGCATGCATAGTTCCGGCATTGGGAACAGCATTTGGAAAAACCTTAAGGAGTGCTCTTGTTTCCTGGGTTTTAGCCACTGAAACGCCACCTGGGCAGGAGCACCTTAATGAGAAGAAAATAGGTTCTGGTGAGGTTGGAGAGAAGGGACAGAACAGAGAGTAAACCACATGCTGAGGAAAGGCATTTATTGTTATTGCTAATTGGTCTCTGTGTAGCAGTGTTTATTTCTTTGTCTTTTTTTTTTAATGCAGTTGTGAGTCAATGTTTGTAAGGGGAGACAGGATGGTATTGCTTTGTATGGAGAATGAATTGCACAAGAGAAAATTACAGAAGTAGAGAGACTGCTGTGGATGTTGTGGCAGGATTCCAAGTAAATTATGATGATGACCTGAACTAATTTGGTGGCAGTATAGATACAGAAAAGAGGGTGAACAAGATGCATCTGAGATGTATGAAGACATAGAAATAAATTTGGGAGATAAGATTGATCCATCTACATACAGGCTGGATATGGCTGAAATGGGGTCATAAGGAAGAGAGCAATCAAAGGTGATTTCAATACTTGGATGGCAAAGCCACTTATTCAGATAATGAAGATGGGAGGAAAGATCTGAGACAGAGTTTTAGAAAAAAATATAAATTATTATCATTCTGACATCCAGAATATTCCATTTACATTAATAAACTTTAAGCTCCTTTACAAGATCATGACTTGTCTTAGAAAAATACCATATAAAACCTTCTATTGCTTCACACTCTTTTGCATAACTAGTAGGAATAAAAACTGGATAAAAACTAGTTTTTATTATTCAGGCAAAATGAAAAATTTTACTTTTTTCCTTGCCACAGAGAAAGTGGGTTGAATATATTAAATAAAGTAAATAGGACCCTACCGATTGCTTTTCTGAATTTATTTATTTATTTAGCTGCTGAAACAGCACAGCAACAGGTAGTAAAAACATAGAAGCATTACCACAGAAGAGTTCCCATGATTACTTGCAGGCCCTAGGGCACAGGAGGCCCAGGGTTCTTTTGGCAGAGAGCCAGACCTGACTCATCTTTCTCCTGTGGAAGCATCAGGTACTCAGTGAGCCCAACCCTGCATCACAGGAATCATGGCATACCATATATCCAGTCTCTGTAAAAATACATCACTGTGTCCCACAACTGCACAGTGGTTTACTTAAGGAAACCTCCTTTTAAACATCTAAAAAAAAAAAAAAAAAAAAAAAAACTTATATTAAGCCAAACCACTATCAGTTGCCTAAACAGAGGGCACATCCTCCTTTACATAAAATGACATATTCTGTCTAGAATTTGGTTGTTGATAAGCTTGACTAACAATCATGATAATTTGTTACATAAGGATCAGATAAGACTAGTTTTCAAATACTCGGTATATATATACATATATATTTAAATCTCACCATAAATTATAAGAAAGAAAATTCTAGTTTAAACTTTTTTAAATAGTGGGAAAAATCTGAAGAATTCTCAATAAAATGAACAGTTTAATAATTGGATTTGGTTTGCAGATTATCTAAAATAGGTTTATATTGGTGTTAAAGCAAAAGTTATTAAAATGTATTTAAATTACAAGGAAAGAAAGAGAGAGAACATCTTTATCTTGTCTACAGGGAAGAAGAAATAAAAAAGAATATTAAATATGTTTCCGTAAATAACTGAACCTCCCAACACTGACTTCCTATTCAGTAACTTGACAATCTGTCACTTTCTTAAAAGCTTACTTTGATTGGCTTTTATCTTACTGACACGAACTTCTTAAAAATACCCCTCAGTTTCTCGCCTAACCTATGAATGCTGGAACTTAAATAACAAAACAAAACAAAACACTAAAATAATGAGTGAAATGTTTAATCACAAAAACTGGCATTAACGTTTCTATTTTCTTGTTCTGATCTTTTGTCTTGAATATAAGGGACGAAAATATCCGCTTTTTTTCTTAAAAGTAAATGAGTTTCCTAAGTTGAATTCGATAAGAAGTTAAAAGGATTCTCCATCTTTTCTGAATTTCACTATAAAGTGCTTATTCGTTTGAAAAAAATAAACTGCTCTGAGAAATAGGGGTAGAGCTGTTCTGTTAATTTTTTGCGTTTGTGTGTTCTTAAGGGGTGCGGGGCTGTTTTCTGTCCCCACAGGTAGTATCTGCTATGCTGGGTCTCCACGGTCAGCTTTGCAGTTGGGAAATACAGCACATGCTTTTTGCTCGTAAAAAATATGAGTGCTCCTTGAACTGAAGCCCATCTAACAACTATGTTAGCGTAAACAGAAAGAAACAAAAAACAGTAAACCGGCAGGCATGGCTACCTTTCCTTTCCAGTTTCAGAACCTGGCATCAAACCCACAGGGTTAAAGCCGGCAAAGGAGCTACCCAGCTTTCGAAATAACTACCCTCCCAGCTCCTCTTCCTCCCATTGCTGGAACCACCTGGGCAAGCTTCTCCCCTCTCTTTTTCCCAGGCGGCGTAATACTGGGTGCCAGAACCGAGATGTGAAAATAAGACACAGGTGGGTGTGGCGGTTGAGGCGAGCAACGGCGAAAGACGGGAGGTTTCTCCTCCTGCCACACAGAAGGAGCAAAAGGAAAGACACTTACTTGCGACCTAGCCAGCCGACCATTCCCACCGGGTGCACCTGCAGAATCTGGCCCCAGGGGAGGGCGCGGGCCTCTCTCTCCCCTGCGCTCTCTCCCGGCTGCTTCTTTTTCTTTGGGCTCCTGTTGCTCCGGGGCCTCCAGCCGCTGGCAGCCCCTGGAACCCGGGTTAGTCTAGCCCCATTCGAGCCGGCGGAATTGGAAAGCCGACAGGCGCAGCAGGAGAGCCGGCGACCGCCTGCACGCAGACTGCGCCCCTCCTGCCAGGGCGCTCCGGGCGAGGTAGCAGCCCCGCCTCCCCGAGGGCAGCTGCGCTGCTCAGCCTCCTCCACTCCTCCCTGCGCGCGCCCAGGTCCCCACCCCTTGCTCCCTCCCTCCCTCCTTTCCTCACTCCACTCCTGCGGGCGGCGCAGGGCGGGGACCCGTGTAGGGGTGCGGTGGTGGAGACGCTCCTCTGCACCATACGCTAATAGAAGGCGGAGGAGGGGGTTGCACTACCTGCCATCAATAGGAGCACGTGTGTGTGTGTGTGTGTGTGTGTGTTTTATTAGATGCCGCCAGAAGAGCCCTTCCCTTACCTCACCCCACCCCCATCATCCCTTCCCTCCCTTCCTGCTCAGCAGAATCTGCTAACGTTTCCGATCAGCCACTTTTGTGGCTTAGTGGGGGGCTGGAGAAAAACTCCGGAACAGAGGAATTAGGGACCAGTGGCAAAGGCCTGAGTCTGGGGCAGTGGGTGGGGAGCCGGACCACACCGCCTGGCTCGCGTTTCGGGCCCTGGGCTCTGAGGAGTCTAGGCTGGGAATTGGTTTCTTCCCTGGGGCTTCGCTCACAACAGCGAGCGGGGCGTCGGCGCTCAAAACCGGTATCTAGACTGTGTTTGCTGTTTTATTTTTTAAATAATCCATTGAATTGCAAAGTCTTCCAGGCAGGCAAATAATACATTTTCTTTCGAAGACGCAGTGAAGAGTCACAGGCTGTCCTAGATCGGGAAGGCAACATGGGGAAAATGCTGCTTTTCCAGGCCTGGGACCAGATCATCTGGACATGCCATCAGTCATATGGGTTCTGAATTTTAGAGCTGGTAGGAGCGACTGTGAAAATAAATTTTAAAAACTCATTTTGTGTGGAGTGTGTGCGTGCGCGTGTGTTCTCTACAGCAGCCTGGAAGAACAATGGAAACAGGATTTAATTATCTTTCTCAAAGAGAAACAGGAAATTTCCACTAAGAGAATAAATTAAAGGATGGCAATGGGGATGCCTCTCAAAAGGGCAGATCACTTTGCAGGATAATCACTAGTGATGGGCATTTGTAGTTTTGTTTGCTTCCACACCTTCTATCACGGAAATGATGCTTAGAGGCAAACAGGAATGAAATCAAATCCCAGGGTCTACCTTTCCCTGCTGTTTTATTTGCTTCTGAGGTTGGTCCTGGGGCTTGGGACCTTATATTCTTGACTTGTAAGATGTGCTGTTGAAGAAAGGAAGCTTCAGTGTCTAAGGCTGTACACTGAAGGGGAACTAGGTCACTTGGGATAATTCTCAGTGCCATCCCCTGGACAAATCACCTTCTCTTCCTTGAGTGGTGGCAGATAATAGGAAGAAGAGTTCAACTGCAGTAGGAATGATGGTCTTTTTAAATTAGATGCAAACAATGTCACATTCTTTGATTTTCAAGACTTTATTTTTTAGACCAGTTTTAAGTTCACAGCAAAATTGAGAGGAGGGTACAGAGATTTTCCACATGCCCCCTACCCCTACACAAGAATAGCCTCCCCCATTATCAACATCCCCCACCAGAATTGAACATTTTTTAAAATTATTAATGAACTTACTTTGAGTTATCAATATATCCCAAGGTCTATAGTTCACATTTAGTGTTAGCTCATGGTGTTGTCCATTTTGTGGGGTTAGGCAAATGTATAACGACCTGTATCCACCATTACAGTATCATTCAAGAGTAATTTCAGTGTCCCCCAAATTATCTGTGTTCCACTTACTCATTTCCCATTTCAACCCTTGGGAACTACTGATCTTTTTAGTGTCTTTATAGTTTTGCCATCTCTGGATGTCCTGTAATTGCAATAATACAGAATATAGCCCTTTCGGATTGACTTATTTTACTTAGCAATATGCTTTCAGCTTTCCTCCATGGCTTTTCATAGCTTGATAGCTCATTTCTTTACAGTGCAGAATAATATTCCATCGTCTGGTGGTACCACAGTTTATTCATTCACCTACTGAAGGACATCTTGTTTGTTTCCAAGTTTTAGCAATTATGCATAAAGCCTCTATAAACATCTTTGTAAAGGTTACTGTGTGGACAGAAGTTTTCAAGTCATTTGGGTAAACACCAAGGAGCAAAACCACTGGACTGCATGGTGACAGTCTGTTTAGTTTTTTAAGAAACTGCTACACTGTCCTCAAAGTGGCTGGAGCATTTTGCATTCCCACCAGCAATACATGAGTGTTCCTGTTGTCTCACATCCTTGGCCAGAACTTGATATTGTCAGTATCCTGGATTTTGTCTATTCTAATACACATGTGGTGGTATCTCATGCCCATTGTTGATACCATAAGTGTTACTTAATTTGCATTTCCCCTGTGACATATAATTTGGATCATCTTTTTATATGCTTATTTGCAATCTGTGTATCTTCTTTGATCTGTTAAGATATTTGGCCCATTTTTTTCATTGGGTTATTTCTTTTCTTATTATTGAGTTTTAAGGTTTATTTGTATATTTTGGCTAACAGTCATTTGTCAGATGTGTCTTTTGCAGATATTTATTCAACACTGTGGCTTGTTGTCTTGTTTTTGCAAAGCAGAAGTTTTTAATTTTAATGCAGTTCACCTTATCAATTATGTGTCTTGTAGATTGTGCCTTTTTTGTTATATGTAGAATAATACATATGTTAGATATATTCTTAGAGTGGAATATAAAATGTATGATATATTTCATACAACCCATGTGTTACATTTTATGTATAACATATATTGTTGTTATATATTATGTTTCATATATATTACGATATATATTTCACTCTAAGCAACCATTAACAAGAACTTAATATTCTCAGTATATCTATGTTCTTGTCAGAGATCTTCAAACATAAAATCCTGGAAAAGAATAAAACCAAAAATAAAATCCTCTTGGTCTGACTGAGGGATACCTTGTAAGATTTTGCCTGTGAGCTCATAGGCAAGGCATTAGCTATATTATTCATTATTTTCCAAATTTTCTTTCATGTTCCCACTGTTTATTTCCTTTGCATTTTTTATGTACCATGGCTAGTCTCTAGAACATTTTGTAATGTGTTACTTTTAGTCTATCCTATTTGTGATTTTATTGCTCTTTTGGCAGCCCTAGGAATTTTATCTCTGTTGAAACCCAGAAAAAAATCTCTTTCTAAATTTCTTGTTAAATATTACACTGCATAGCCCTCAGAGTTCATTAAACACTAAATGGCAGCATCAGATGTTTAAGTAGATGGTGCCTTTAAAATTTAAAGGGTAGGGCAGAATGCGGTGGCTCACTCCTGTAATCCCAGCACTTTGGGAGGCTGAGGTGGGTAGATCACAAAATCAGGAGTTCCAGACCTGTCTGGCCAATATAGTAAAACCCTATCTCTGCTAAAAAATACAAAAAGTAGCCAAGCATGGTGGAGAGTGCCTGTAGTCCCAGCTATTCTGGAGGCTGAGGCAGGAGAATCACTGGAATCTGGGAGGCAAAGGTTACAGTGAGCCGAGATCCTGCCACTGCACTCCAGCCTGGGCGACAGAGGGAGAGTCCATCTCAAAATTAAATAATTAAATAATTAAATAAATAAATAAATTGTAGGCTTGAATTAAGGGAGGAACAAAGGCTATCTGGTTGAACAAGCCAATAACCAATAAGTTCCTAATAATATTTACATGACCTTCTGTAACTTGGATAGAAAAATGTGGAGATGTTGAGTCATAGAAATTAACTAACATCATACAATCAATACCACAATAGGAATAAGAATTGTATTTCCCTTAGTGATAAAATGGATATCCATACTTTTGTCTTTTCCCCAATTGCCACTCAATTTTCAAAATTATAGAAGTTTCTGGAAGAACAAAAAAATAGTAATATTAAGACAGTAAAATTAAACAATATGGTACTGGGTACTAAGGTTTTTTAAAAATAAGATTAGAAAAATACTTTTATCTTCTAATATTGGCTGCATGACAATATTACGATGTAAGAAAAAAGCAATTATTGTGTTGTGAAAATAGAAGAATAAAGTTACAAGTTTTTGTGTGTATATAGCTAAAAAGTGGATTCAAAAGTAGAATTTCAAATTATGACTAGAAAGAAAATAGGACTATAATTTTTAAAAGATGCAATATACAATAAAGATTATCAGACATAGATTGGAATGATGAGATGGACAAATTATGCATAATAAAATAACTGAACAAAGAGGTTTCCTAAATGTATCAGCATCTGAGTGTTTCCTGGTCTAATTTGACATAGTCTGGAATTTTTTGACCAGAAAACTGATGTGAAAAAAAGAAAATAAATGTTTTGTCTTGCATGTAGTAGATGCTTAGTAAGTATATTGATTGATTACTTATTCTTGTAGAATTTTCCCCACGAGATCATAGTCCTCTAATGGGTCCTTTATCCTAACAATGGTTTTGCTGATAATGTGCTTTCTGTGGAGTTCTTTTTGATTAAAACTACTGTTATCAGCATTCTCTTGTAGAAGTCTTCCACTAGACAAGGGTACAAAATACATGAAACACTCGTTTTCAGTCCTTGGGCCACATTATCTATAAAACTGTGATCCCTAGAGAAGAGAAAATAAGTGAGCCAACCATTGTCTCTGGATAATACATGAGGTTTCTAAACCACAGCTCAGGAAGAGGGAAACATAAAGAGCCACAAAATAAGAGTTTAATGGGCTGAAGGAGCTAGAATGTGTTTGTTTGGGACAGGATATCTAAGATAAAGGAGCTGAACAGAGAGTATACCAGAGATCTGTAGAAAAAGACCTCAAGTTTTTGCTTGACAGCATTCTGCAATTGTGTGAGAACAGTAATATCCTAAGCCAGAGAAAGAACAACAGTCATGCATTGCTTAACATCAGAGATATGTACTGAGAAATGTGGCACTAGGCAATTTTATCATCATAGAGAGAGTACTTACACAAACCTAAATGGTACACCTACTACACATTTAAGCTTTATGGTATAGCCTGTTACTTCTAGGCTGCAAACCTGTACAGCGTGTTACTGTACTGAGGCAATTGTAACACAATGGTATTTATATGTCTAAACATATC